GATCTATATGGTCCCTGGGTACCAGTTTATACTGGTATATATGGTCCCTGGGTACCATTCAGGCTATACTGGTCTATATGGTCCCTGGGTACCACTGAGTTTATAATGGTCTATATGGTCCCTGGGTACCACTGAGTTTATACTGGTCTATATGGTCCCTGGGTACCACTGAATTTATACTGGTCTATATGGTCCCTGGGTACCATTCAGTTTATACTGATCTATGTGATCCCTTGGTACCAGTTTATACTGGTCTATATGGTCCCTGGGTACCACTGAGTTTATACTGATCTATATGGTCCTTTGGTACCAGTTTATACTGGTATATATGGTCCCTGGGTACCATTCAGGCTATACTGGTCTATATGGTCCCTGGGTACCACTTGAGTTTATAATGGTCTATATGGTCCCTGGGTACCACTGAGTTTATACTGGTCTATATGGTCCCTGGGTACCACTGAGTTTATAATGGTCTATATGGTCCCTGGGTACCACTGAGTTTATACTGGTCTATATGGTCCCTGGGTACCACTGAGTTTATAATGGTCTGTATGGTCCCTGGGTACCACTGAGTTTATAATGGTCTGTATGGTCCCTGGGTACCACTGAGTTTATAATGGTCTATATGGTCCCTGGGTACCACTGAGTTTATACTGGTCTATATGGTCCCTGGGTACCACTGAGTTTATAATGGTCTATATGGTTCCTGGGTACCACTGAGTTTATAATGGTCTATATGGTCCCTGGGTACCACTGAGTTTATACTGGTCTATATGGTCCCTGGGTACCACTGAGTTTATAATGGTCTATATGGTCCCTGGGTACCACTGAGTTTATACTGGTCTATATGGTCCCTGGGTACCATTCAGGTTATACTGGTACACTGTAAAGGGGTTAATTATTCACTGGGTTTTAATTTGGCTTTTTTCGCTGACTGGAAAATGCGCTAAATTAAAACCCAGTGAATATGTAAAATTGAGCATGGAACACATTATCCAAATGATAAAACCGTGAATTTTAAACCCACTAAATATGCCTGAAACACTAAATCAGTGAAATTTAAATAAACCCAGTGAAAATTAGTCATTTTACAGTATACATTCCCTGGGTACCACTGAATTTATACTAGTATATATGGTCCCATTTATTTTATACTGGTATATATGTTCCCTGGGTACCATTCAGTTTATTCTGTTCCATATGACCCATGGGTACCATTCAGTTTCTACTGGTCTCTGCAGTACTGTACTCACCTCGTTTTTACTTGCATTGATTTGTACAAGTGATGAATCAATTTTAGTTATATCAGGTTTACTGTCAATCATATCACCAGTCTGGTTCTGCTCAATTTTCACTTCCATCTTCACATCGTTCATAATTTGCTTAAAAAAAATAGAGATGTATTTTCACCAAACGATTCAAATTTGTTGTGATCAATGTCTTGTGCAATTTACCGAGATATGAAAGATGCTAGCACAACTATCATGCGCTGTTTATGAATAATTAGTTGAAAGATGTGATTTTTTCATATAACACAAAAAAAGATGATTGATTATAACAGTTGAAAATATGCTTTCTGAAGCATGATCATCTTCTGCCAAGTAAGTTTTTGTTTAATTACGATAACAATAAATATCAAAAAAGTAAGTACTGTGGAATACTTTATTTTCGCTGGATTTAATTTTCGCTGAAAAGGCTTTTTAGGCGTTTTGCTTGGAATTTATTTTCACTGATTTTTGATGAGTTTAATGTGAAATATAGGAAAAAAAGTATATTCACTGGATTTTATTTTCACGGAATCATCCCTTCAGCGAAAATAGCGAAAATTAATTCTAAGCGAAAATAAAGTATTCTACAGTAATATCAGACACGTGTGCAGAACTTGCATTTTGTTAATTTTTTTTAGGTCAGCTTATGGGTCAATGAATGAGGGCACAAGCCCAATGTTTCCTAAGTGGGTCCTAATGAATGTGAATGCAACTACAGTAATCTCTTTACAAACATAAAATATTCAGCACGTGCTGAGATCTCATAGCATGAACACAAATATTTGTCAAGCACATGGCTTGTGTTGAGTAGGATAAAAGAGGAATACGACTATAGATTTTTTTGATATATAAATAAAGCATACATGTATAGAACAGAATCCAAGCTACCCAAAGTATTGTGACAACATCACATGCATTTCACTGATGGATCTTTATTAAAGTCATTGTTAGTGCATGAAATCTAAATTTTTAAATGGCAAAAAGACAGTATATTATTAATGCCAACTATTAATTCCACTAACTCTTCAACAGTCACCAATGGTGAATTTTATTTAGATCTGGCCTATGATAAATTTTGTCCTTTTCGCCTATGATGGATATTAAAGTCTAAATTAAAACTATTACTGGTGATTATTCTGAGAAAGTATTATGTGTTCTAATATTATATATACATATTTGAACAATGATGAATGACCCGCCAACCCATAATGGGTGAAAGCTTAATGGGCAAGATGTGAGCAAAGTACATATATGGAGCGCAAAGTGTGCTTGATTGCAATACATTATCGCAAATAATTTGCTGCAATGACGTCATAAAATCCACTGATATTGATAATGCTATAATATAATATAAGGTTATTATGAGAATACCTCAAAGTATACGCGAAGATAGTACAGCTGGATTATTGACCAATGCGCAGCGGAGGTCGATGCATGTCGTACTGTCCGAGTGCATACTGAGTGCGAGTAATCATTCCATATTTGGAATTCGCATTTCCTAATATGGTAGGATGAAAATACCCCGTAAAATACCGCAAAATTACGGCACGCTGTAACTTATAGCGTAATGGTGATAGATGTATAATGTAACATATGTACTGTAACAAATGAAGCAACTATGGTATTCATAAGATATCTGCCTTGCCAATGACTAAACATCACCAAGCAATTATGTAGCTTTAGTTGTAATTCAGTTCTCAGTATATTAGAGTGTCATCAAATCACGGAATCATTTGTGGGATTCTCTCTTTGACAATTGAAGATGGACTAAACTACAGAATCAATACTTTATGTGAAGCATTTTCCAATTTTTCCAAGACCAGTCTGACATCCACACCAGACTTGATTTGTTGCATGAATATCTATTTGGTCCTTCTTTTCAAAGGGCAATTTTACTCATATTACCTCTACCTGTGAGTAAACATTGAACAGCAAACATTACATACTTCTTAGGTTAGTTGTGTTTAGTAAATACCTGAACTAGAATTTGAACAGCAATGCATGATGGGATTTATTGTAGTAAGGACAAATAATAGCTTAGTTGATAAACGGTGCAACACATCATGTTTAGGTCAGTATAACATCGTAACTTTCAGATTTGATTCTTTGGCCATATTACTCAAAAGAGCTTTCAACTTTAAAAGCAGGTTTACAGAAATGTAAATTAATCATCAAGAAAGCATACAGTAGCATATTTCAATTTGCTATGTGAAGGTATTTCATTTCTCTTTTTGTCACGTCACATGCTTTATAGCGTAAGTCCATATCTGTTTGTTGATCGATTTAAATTCTTACCTGTAAATTAGAAACTAAGTCATGTACATGTCCACAAAGTGAGTTGAGAGAAGTCAACATTGTTATTGATGTTTGTAGATGTTCTTGATTAATGGAGAAACTGCATACTTTGTCTAAATTAGACTGCAAGAACAAAGATTATAGATTATAGATATTTCTTCATATGGTGCATTCAAATTAATACCACCCACCCTGACATACACTACTCATCCCTCTATGGACTGAGAAATATCTTCAGTGTGTGTGG